CAGTAGTAGAAAATCATTCCACATTAGGTTTATCTATCTGATATGGAATAGTACTGCAAAACGTAACACTTAAACAAGAAAGAGAGATTTCCATTTCAGCTCCAACTAAGATCTATACATGAATCTTGACTTTAGAGGTAACTTTAATGCTGATACCTTGAAAAGAAGGATTTCAAACTCGCTAAATAAAACTTTCTTTGCATTAACCTTCAAGACTGTATTCTCTAGCCGTCCAGTGAGTCCTAGCAACATGAAGGATAAGTTTTAGCATCTGACCACTTCCATGTGTGTCCATGAATTAGCTTGCCAAGTGTAGCCATATGTATAGATCATACGATGCACTTTCTTTCCCAAAATGTTAGAGAACGTTACCCCACCTTGCTGCAAAGAAGTACGAGTGGATCCGTTGGAAGTGCAATAGCTGAAATTTTGTCAACACGGGTCACACTACTCTTGATAACGCCTTTTACTGAAAATTAATTTTACATATCCTGCAACTTTATGTCGTAACCTGTTAATTGTATCGGTCTGTATGCTCTTTGTGATAAATCTACAACTTTTACATCACAACTATGATTTCTGACATCAATTAAAGCAATGTTATAATTTTTACTTAACCTAATCTTTGTTTCTAGGTCTAACTAAATACTGTTAGTTGCATGGAGGAAATCGGCAGGAAACGTTGGACCTAGGTTTCCTGGTTTCGGCACTTATCAAAAAGGCGTATCTGCAACCTCAACGGAACTGATATCCCACCTGAGATCCAAATCCGTGTCACCCAACCCTAAGTGAAAAACATTACTACTGAGCTATTCGAGCCGTGACTGACCTCCTGTTGGACTGGGTTAGGCTCAGTGATTGGTTACTGGAGGGTAACCAACTTAATGATGTCTATTCCCAGGTACTGACTGAATTCTACTGATCATTTTGCAATGTGGCCACCAAGCTAGGAGACGCTGCTTGTAACTATCCATGTAGCGGAACAAGATGTACGGAATTACGATTGTATAGCTATAGATCACGAAATCATCGAAGCAAATTTCTTAGCTGAAATTCCAGTCGGTGTTTTTGATGATCTGATAAATTATTATTGACCGAATCATGATACGGTGGCTTTGAAACTTACACAATCACTCAAAGATAAATTTCGTTCGCTTAAGAAGCCTATTGACCAAAATCGATAATATAATTCGCCCTTTCAAACACAATGCAGTGTGGTCAACCTAAATTGTCAGAGTCTGTTAGATAATGAGATCATAGAAACTCTTCCAAATTTCGTATGATAGACACCACTAGAGTCCAAAATCTGAATGCAACCTGAGCTATTACAACGCATGCACCGACACACTCATACAAATTCGAGCATGTGACACCTATTACGCCGTAGTATGGGACTCCTCAGTAGTACACACCCACTACCCGGATAGGGATAGAACTCAAGACCTTCTGGTCTTATGGTGAACGCACTTACCAATCAGCCACTGAGTCAGTTTCCAGTGGTTCACAATTTCCAACTTCTGTCAATTCACGACATAGCGTAACTGTCACCCAAGGTCTTCAGTTAGCATCCACCTCACTTCCGACTGGTTGACCCCACAGGTCACGGCTTCTTATTAAAGCTCCGTGATATTCATCTAGAAGCAAGTCACTAATGAGCACTATTGAGTAATGTATTTTCGAGATGAATGGGGCTTTTATTTTTGAGGTGGTATTCATTACGGACTGACATCAGTCCCATTTTATTATTATTTTATTATTCGTCCTTGGGTTCCTAATAGAACACAGGGCTTCAGTAGCACATCTCCAGTGAACTCTGTTCTCTGAAATCTTTTGAACCTGGCTCCACGACAGCCCACAAGCTCTCACTTCCTCCTCTCACGATCTCCTCCATGTCACACTCAGCTGGGACTCCCAACTCGTCGCTTCCCATCTGGGTTCCACTCGAGCAACTGGCCTGACGTGTGATGTACCCAGACGGCCTTCTTAGTGTATGCCCAATCCATCTCCACTTCCTTACAGTGCATATTTGTTCAGCGATAGCTTCTTGGTTGGTTCGTTCCCAGAGCTCCTTGTTGCTTATTCTTATAATTCTGGCCATCTGATCTTCAGTAACGAGCCAGCGTAGGCAGTTGTTGATGAATGTCTGTAGTTTGATGGAAATCCCTTTCGTAACGCGCCAAGTCTCTGAGCCATACAGAAGCACTGATTTGACGTTGGTATTGAAGATCCGGATCTTGTTCCACATGCTGAGTGCAGAAGATCTCCACACTGGTTTCAGGTTGATGAACGTCTTCCTTGCTCTTCCAATTCTGACTTTAACATCCTCGTCTGTGCCACGGTAGTTGAAACAGTGCTTCCTAGATAGGTGAAAGAGACTTCCTTTTTTAAGTTCCTCCCGTTCATGGTGATTGGAGTTTGTTGTTGTTGTTGGTGTTGTTGGTTGGGTATCTTCATCACCTCTGTCTTCTCTATATTCACTTGAAGTCCTGTCTTTGACGCCCTGCATCGCCTCTTCTGACAACTTGTTAGTTTTCGCCTGTAGATTTTCAAGTTTGTGTGACATTAGACACAAGTCATCGGCGAAATCTAAATCTTCCAGGTTCTTTTCCGTGGTCTAGCGTATACACCTCTCCTCGCTGCTCATTGTTTGTTTCATGATCCAGTCGACTACAATCAGGAATATCATGAGTGATAGTAGACATCCTTGTTTTTCTCCTGTCTTCACTTCCAAAGCATCACTGAGCTTCCCATTGTGAGTCACTTTGTATGTGGCATCTTCATATAGTTGTTGAATGAGACTGATAAAGGCTTGTGTTATTCCATAGTGTTGGACCTGTTGCCAAATTACCTCTCGGTCGACGCTGTCAAAGGCCTTCTCAAAGTCGATGAAGTTGAGGTTGAGTTGAGTTGACTGCCATTCATTTTTTAACACACAACCACACAATAGGGTGGGACAAAACCACTGTACTTAAGTCTGATATAACTAGGTGGAGAGAGAGATTAATTACTGAATCTTAGTTCATGGAATCCACACCCAACACATGTAATAGGAATGACGCAACACCTATGCCAGAGATATGGAAAACTTTACTACCAATCAAAAAACAAAGAGGTATCAGGTGACAGGACTATAAAATCAGGTATCGAAAGAAGTGTGATTACATTGATATGATTATGAGCAATAATTAATGCTCGAAACGTAATCAAGTAAATAATACTGTATCACTGTGCGCTTTATATAAAATAAACAAATCTAATATGGAATTACATTCTACCACAGTGCCCAAGTTTTACACTTATATTCTATACTCTGTTCTATGATGATGCGTAGTAAGGCGTTGTAATTTGGTCCACACATGATTTGTACTTCCTGAAGCCTGCCTGCCTGTTCCGGTCGTAGTTTTGAATCCAGTGCATCCTTTAGCCTCTCCAGGATGATGCGGCTTAATATTTTGCTTGCTCTGGGTGGACAGGAGAGTGATTCCTCGCCAGTTCTTGCAAACACTGAGGTCTCCCTTCTTTGACAGTTTGACAGGGTAACCCTTCACCCAATCAATGGCCAGGTACCTTCTCTTCCTTCCACACCTTCTGCAATAGTGGTGTGGTGTGCGCATGTCCGCTGCTGTTGTCTCTGTGTGTGTTTTCAGTGCTTCTGGCGGGATCCCATCTGGTCCTGCTGCTTTCCCACATTTCAGTAGCTTTATGGCCTTCAGGACTTCCATTTTTGTTGGGGATTTATGTTCACTTGTAGTTCTGTGGCTGGGCTGCAGGTGGTATTTGTGGACGAAGTGCAGGTGGTGGTGGTGGTGGTGGTGGTCGATTCAAGAGCTTCTTCAAGTGGTCGGCTCATCGTTTCCTTTGTTTCTCTTCTTTCGTAATTAGATTTCCTTCATCATCTTTTATTGGTTTCGTCTGTGTTGATCTCTTCCTTCCCAGATAGCAACCTGGATATTTGATACAACGTCGTCAGGTCTCTCTTACCTGCAGCCTGTTCTGCTTCACCTACCAATGTTTCGTAGAAATGTCTTTTGTCTTTTCGTGCACTCTTCTTCACTTCTTTGTCCAGTGTAGTGTAGTGTTTTATACATTGTGCTCAGTTCCTCTTGTCGTTGAGCATCCTTGCACTGCTTTATCTTCTGCTTCATCATCCTCCTCTCCCTGCTCTATCACCTTCCATGTATCCATCGAGATCAATTCCACTCCTTATCTTCTTTCTTCTTCCTTCCTAATACGGCTGTGCAGGTTTCTTTCCACATCTCTTTCAAAGACTTCCAGTGTTCTTCCACACAGGTTTCTTCACGGATGTTCCTCCTTTTCTCCCATTTTGTCTTGATGGCTGGCTGCCCTGAAGAATTCCTCTGTAGTTTCGTCCTTCAGTTTCTGTTCCGAGTGTTGTACTTGAACTGTGATCTGTCATCACCAGCTTCCTTAAAGGCTTTTAACTTGATTTGGAAGGCAGGTTCCTTGCACTGGATAGTGAGAGGTGTGAACCTACATCTGCTCCTCTTCTTCACCTTGTTTCAAGTAACTGCGTCTCCATTTTCTTCACATTGAGATAAAGTTGATCTGATTTTTAGTGTAGTGTGTCCTGGTGTCTGGTGAAATCCATGTCGCTGGCTCTGTGGATATCCTTGTGCTTGAACACGCTATTAAGTGATTAGAATGACTGACACATTCACATCAGACAATCCATAGTATAACGTATTGTATTCTTAGGTCTAGTGAATATATATTAGGTCTGCTTAAGTGATCACATCTACTTGTTAAGCCTTATAAAGTAGTTACTGAAACAAGTTGCTGATGAGAGTTGATAAAATCCATTATAAACTTACCAGAGTTTCCTAATTAATCATAAGTTGATTAAAATTGAAAAGAATATGCAATAATGGATTCCACCTCAGAAATCCAAGGGTGGTACACTCACTCTGAGATATGATTGTCAATAAGTTCAACCCAGCACGGGATTATGAACGTGTGTTGCTGAGGTGTTCTAAACGAAGATGTCAACAACAAGAGTACTGTTCAATACGTCCCAGTTTTCATTGATTCCTTGTCCAATATCATCAACGCGAGATGAAAGTCATATTTAAGTCATAGTCATTCTCATGGGACTCGTTCATATTTTTTACAGTTACTTATAAGAAGATATATAAGCAGTATGCACAGCAACGTTGAAAAAAACAATAATCGGCTGGCGAGAAATCGGACCAAAGGAATATACAATACTGGATGGAAATATAAAGCCCAAAACCAAGCGGAATGATATCATTCGTGGATAAATAACTTTTTGTCAAGCTTAGTATTTTTAACATTATGAGTTGTGTCTTCTTGATAAGCTATATCAGCCGCTTCATTGGACTTTTCTTAACTAATACTACTGCCTACAGACATCTTTCTGCAAAAGATGGTTATTGAGTTGGTGCTGTAATACGAACTGACTAACTTTAAGAGGGTTAGTTGGGTGCAATCAGCAGGACCAAACACTGACTCATCAACTGGTTTGTAGGCAGTTTTTTACTAAACAACGGAACCAGTTAGTCCCGGGTTAAAATCTGTATTTTGTTGGGGATGAATACTGCTGAAGGACCCAAAACTGATGAGACGAAACAGATATTCACAGGTCTTCGTGATTTGACCATCTGATACCATTCCTTGATGAATATACTATTTTGAAGGCAATTATTGAATCAAAAAACAAACCAGAACTTTCGTAACTTTATTTCGTTTTGTTTGTTTTTTCCCACAGAAGTTAAAAAAATTCCTTTCTCCTGTTTCCTTCATGCTTTAATAGGATGATGTCAAGAATAATACAGCGGCATTACGGTACCTGGAAACGATATCTCAACTGGAAAACTCATTTACAGTAAGTTAAAACCGAAATCTCTATTACTATTATTGCTATTATTATTATTGCTGTTATTATTATTGTTATCATTATTGTTGTTATTATTATTATTATAAGTGGTATTTGAGCGAAAAATTGTTTTCAATAACTTCCTGCTCATGTTCTTCAGTTATACGTCTATGATATTATTAAAGAACAATGAAAACTATGGTTGAGACAGTGAGTATAATGAGGACATGAAATCGAATGGACTTAGAGTTAAAAAGAAAGATGACTGTTGATTAGGATTTAACTGTATTGGTGAAATTATCTGAAATGGCCACGGTTTGACACGATAGTAATTATGTTGCACAGGGATGATTCAATCTGAAACGAAGACCTGGGACGGACTGGAAGCCGTTAGTTGGAATCCTAAAGACACCAGATTTACGTTTTACTTTCAGTCGTCACCGCGTACCAGATGCATATACACATTACAATGGAGTATAACTACTATCGTTCTTTTTTTGTATCACACAGTAAGACACTAAAGCTCAAGATGAAATACTATAAGCTAACTAAAGATGTAAACAGTGCTAACAATGTAACGACAGGGTAGGATTGTAAAAGCAACATAGATTTAGCATATAAAGAATCTATATCGGAAGCCTTATGATGGATTCTGAATAAGGTCCGGATTACAGTGGTATTTTAACTTACATACCTACTTTGAGACAAACTATGCCGGCTAAAAGAACCTATCAAACCTATTATAAATAAAACTAGTTGGTCTACCAAATTCCAAACAATGACTGTGAAGTCAAATACATCGGTTAAAATAGCCGATCGTGGTCAATAGGGGTAGCTGAACATGGAGAACTAGCTACATATAGAATGCTACACTCTAACAAGATAGGAAACCTAGAAAGGCACCCCACTGTAGCCATGAATGATGTCATACGCAGTCACACAGTAGGATGGGATAGAGTGATGGAATTAAAAAAATAACCTGAGTCAGTGGGGAGGAAGAGAGGCTGATAATAACTGAAGCTTTGTCCATTGAACCGGTACCTGATATGTGTATTAGAAATGAGGCCGATACCAATTATGGGCACGCGCAAATTCCACCACCAATTAAAACAAGGAATAAAAAGCAACAGAACTATGGAACATCAGGTTTGGACTAGGAACAACTGAAAGCTTCAAAGGATAAGTTATGAGGTCAAGTAAACAGATTCCGGTACTTGAAGCGAGAGTGTAACACGTGACCATCGATTTGAAAGTTGAATGCTGTAACCACTGAACCACAATCGCAGATAATTTTTCGTGAATTACATAGATGCAGTCAAACTATAACTTTATCAAATGTCTCTGCTGAAAAACTGCGGTATGTGAATTGTCAAGCCTGACGACTGATTACTGAGAAAAGATATTTGCCTAAACTGTGTTATCTAAATCTACGATAGTATGATGATCATAATAAAATCTACAAATTACCTAACTAGAATGTTTCAGCCGAGGAGAAGGAAGAATAAGTTTGGTTCAGGATCAATTTTAGTTCCATATTGATAACTAGACGTTAACCGTCAGGGTGAACAGATAGGCGTATTTCTCTTGAGCAAATGAATCCAGCCTTCTCTTAATGCTTTGCATGACTATACACAAAGAACGAAATCATGTAGCCTTTGGGCAGATTACTTATTACTTGTTCGGTATATTACCAAGATGGCTTGATCAACTTTAATTTAAGATTCACTGGCGATTAAAATAAGACAAAATAACACTATTAATAAATCTACTTTTATACCCTTTATCAAATTAATCAGGTACACATTCACGTAAATCAATTTTTTGTGCTCAGGTTTTAACTGAAAATGTCACAGAAACTTCAGTACAATTAAGCTCACCGAAAGAATTAAAAGATGAAGTTCATGTGAAAAAAGTAAGTCATTTTAAAATTACCATAAAATATGCTTATTCAAATAGTAGTCAAGCTTTTTATTTTATTTTCTGAAAATGAAACATTGTACAACAAAAATCCTGTCGACAACGATTATGACTCAGGAGATTTATCAAGCAGGTTAAAAGTCATGATGGTTGTTGTGATGGTGATGACATGCATCCTTGATTATAGGTGATAATGAACTTCCACTGAAAAGTGGTTAAATATATACAATACTGACTATTGGATTTTAGCTTGATACCTGAACAATGAAATTGGAGAGTCACATGTTATATTCCGTACATTTTAAAGGGTTAGTTTTGTCATATAAATTCAAATAGGATGAAACAGCTTGAAGGTGTGTGTCTAGATGATACAAATTTGTCATGAAAACTGTACTCGGGGAGGAAAGGAGTTTATTACTCATGTCCTGGGTAATTTGTTTGAGATAGACTGATAAATTTTTTTTACTGATACTTGTAATTTCTCATTGTTATACTGGATCGAACTGACTAAATTCTTTTGGGATACTGGCTCAACAAGTAGTAATTGATACACACTGTACAACATGTGACTCATATCCCTCCTTAGTCTAGTGGATACTCCTTTTGGACTTAAAGCAATAGGTGTTGAATTGGAGTGTCAGTTTGAAAAACATCACTTACTGGGGTACAGGTACACCTAGATGCCGAGTTATAATACCATTTCAGATATTCATGGTCCTTTATACAGTCGTTAAAAAAACTAATCTCTGCATTCATTTGAGCAAGTCGGAAAAAATAACGTAGAGAGGAACTCTATGGTCTTCCACGTTGTTTTTTCATCCTTCTTTAACAGAACGCGACGATTCATTTCTTTACAACTGTATAAAGGACCGTGAACATTCGAAAGGTCATAGGAAAGCGTTACGTAGAAATAATATTCACCCTGGATGCCACTGTTAACCACCACCACTGGATTAATTTCGTTTAAATATGACTAACTGTGGCATGAAATAACATGAATCGATGGATGATTTGTAGAGAAGTGATTACAATCAAGGGCATTATCCTTACAAGGTGATGTTATTTAGAAAAGCAATGAAAAGGAGAGTGCTGGCAAAACTGCCTCATCTTACTTTTAGTCTATTTAATTGAGTATATGTGGGATCTAACCCAGAACTATCAGATCATCTAATAAATTGCGACCTAGTAACATCAAGAATAATTTTCCAGAAGTTCTGATGGTTATTCGCCACCTGTAGGACCGAGAAAACTGACAGTGACAACCTATGCTCATTTATGACAGTGAATAATAGTCACATTGTCTTGTAAATGATCAGAATCAAAATTACGGATTACTGGATTTTTCGACCCAGTAACTGAACGGCAACGTGTCTTCTGTTAGCACAGGAAATCCTACCTTAGATACTGTATAGGCTGGTGTACAAATACTGATGATGAGACTGAAACTATGGTGAAATCGGTGTCCGGCAACCATGAATTTCATGGTCACAATTTTTAAATTGATCAATAAGCATGACACGTATAAATAAGTTTATGAAGAAACACTAGAGGTGTATCATCATTCAGGAATAGCTAATCTTTATTGGATGAAAAAGATGACATAATCTGTAATTCCTTGAGTTATGCAACTAATATCGATTAGCTAGAAGTATACGTGTACCATATTAATACAGACTAGATACTGAAAACTGAAGCCAGGAAAGAATGTTATATACGGCATTAAATAAACTCATTTTTAAAGAGGTTAGTGATTAAGTTGATTGGTCGATAATGTGAAATGATGTTGACTGCTCACCAGAATTTACTGAGTGAGAATTCAAATATTTACATCACAGTAAGTTTCATTTATGTTCTTCCTATATGTATATGTATATATACAGTAAGGCTTGAATAACCTAGTGAGATCTGAAGATTAGTTAATGGTCCCTGATTTGAGTGGTTTAATAGGTAACTGATTGTTTTGAAGACGGTTTCCAGCATACACTGACACTAGCTAGATAACTGTTGGAAAACAATGAAAATCTGTTTTGTCAAAGTTTACGCTCATTCAGCATTGTACAGTGAAGATACCTCATGGAATATCGTCTCAAAAGTTCGATTTCCAATAGTGCACAATTTTTGTCTTCACTGAACCCACAATAATTAGTCCGATCATCAAACGCATGTTTTGTTATTATGACATTTTCCTTTGTAATTATTTGGATACCAGAAGATTAAAGTTTTTCGGTATATTGATAATTACGTTGCAAAGTGGTCACTTACCTTTTTTCAAATCAACATTTATTCTGTGCACTGATTTAGCTTCACCCTTATGGTATCCTTTTCAACCAGAACTGCAGGTAGTTTGGTTGCGAAATCAGTTAATGAGAAGTTGTGAATTGGTATTGACTCTGATGGTTCTGTAGATTGAACTAATTCACCCATATAAATAGAATCTAATGTCACAGCTGTGTAAATTGTTTTGTTTTCCGAGGTAACACTGAAAACTGTCTTCAGGAGTTCATTTTATCTCAAGGTTCACAGTTTCATTTTCGGTAGCGTACAGAAATGTGATCAATAGACAACGGAGTGTGAAACCTTCCATTAATGGATAGAATACACTAACCTAAGATATTGTTGTTACCAATTATTTCCGACTCACTGGAAAGATTCTACTGTTCATAGAAAATAGACCAATTGATTGTCTCAAATGAAATAAATAATGGTTTATTTGAATACAGTTTCATTGTAATCGGAAATTCATTTTGAACAAAAAATACAGAGCATTTGTTAGTACTTGAAGCGGACTACTATGTGGGAGGTTTTATTTGACAAACTTCTATGATTATGCACCACGAAGGTAGGATATCATTTTTGCAGCAAAAGTAAATCGTTATGTCAGTTAAGTGGCCACAAGTGGGTCACCAAGCCAAACCCACGAAGATATATCTATTTAAGCCTAAAAGTATACATAGCTATTTTTAATAGTTTTCTCATCTCTCTTGATACCAATGAAATATGTAGTATAATTCGATTACTGTTGAAAGCTTTACAAATTCACAGCATAGGAGGCAGTGAGCATCAGTTTTCAGATGCTAAAACAGGTGGTGGTCTACTGTAGATATTCAATAATCTCTTGATTCAGTATCAAAAGGTGATAGACTAGATCTCCTACTAACGTCATGATTCACTGGCCTTTAGTTTAAAAATCACGAAATTATCTTTGAACATTAGAGCTTGTTACTTTCCCTTTCTGACTGGTTTTAATCGCATTGATCACTTTCTGTTAACATATGAACTGGTGAGCAGATACCTCAATATAGCCAGAGATTTCATTTTAACATTAAGGATGAACAGTGACCAGTAGTAGGTTTGAAGAAGCATGTTTCACCCCACCTGAGATTCATCAGCTCAATGAGTCTGGACCCCAGTGAATGATACTATTCCTACTAAAACTGAAACCCAGCACTAATCGCTTCAAATCGAATTAATCTTTCCAAACCGAACTATACTCATTGTCCAGAAAGTCAGTACCGTAACTCAGTAGTCTAGTGGATAACACCTCGGTGTTTGGAGTGATGGTTGCTAACTGTGAGTGTCAGTGGCAACAACACCACTCACTGGGATGCAGTTACATGGAACTGGAGAGTGTCAAATAGGCTGAAATATATATCCTGAATTTTCCTACTGGCCGCTATCTACCTGTAATATCCAAAAACTCTGAATTTTGTCTCCAATATAGAACAATCACTTCTTTAGACTCTATGGACTATGTACTACTTCAAAATTCATAGTCTAAAAAATAGTTAAAGACAGAGTGGACGAGAATGAAGGGACTTTTGGCGAATGCATCACTGAAATCCAGTCATCAACAGTTTACGAGTTCAGTTAATTAGTACTACATTGTGACACCTAGCTAATATCTTCATCATCGACTTGGTCTTCCTTGAAGTTCACTCACTTCAACAGAAATTTTTAGGATAGTCAATAAAAATCAGTAGATCGTAAGGCAACCAGGTTCATGAAAGAAATAAATGGTTTCAAGATGTTCTCCATCACATCAAAAACGGGAACGAATATCCTCTGGTGAATACTAGTTGTTTAGTGCCTCAAAATAACTGGTATTGAAAAGTGTTCATAAGTGAATTCCGACAAAAGCTATCTGCTTACCACAGGACCTGAATATTTTAGTTTCAATCCTATGAACTGTTGAATTTTCTGCTGTCCTAGAGAGTTCAGAAAAATCTTTAAATATTTTGCACAGCAACCGATATTCAAACCTATCAGCTGCACGCGAAACATGTAGAAGAAAAAGCATATATTTTTAGGGGAAACACTGACAACTCGTTGGTAACGTCTCTGACTGCGGCAATGGGTGACGTGGGTCCAAATTTCACAAGGGACACGAGTTCCCCCTAAGGTTACGCATATGCCTTGCTGACGAAAGCTAACAAACACGAAGCTGAGGTCAAGCAGGGCCTCCTACCAATTGCTTCCAACCGTCTTGAACGTTGATAATGTTTTGTACAAACAGTTTTGAATGTTGATAGTTCTTACATCAGCAATGTAAATTGGTGAGGATTTAAACCCAGTAGAAGCGGTGCACCTAAAATGCACAATTTCAGTACTACACCTTGGGTGAAACATAAAATACCAATCGACAAAGACTCCTTTTTATGTAAAGATGTGCAGTGACAGTCAGCGGCTGATTTTAGGAAATTGGCCTAGGAAAAATGTCAAAACGTGAGCTAAGAATGCTTATATCTCGGAAATAAGTGATTTTTTGGGGGACTTTAAAGGGCACCAATCCACTTTCCAGTATTCCGGTTAGAAAAGTATTTTTTAATAAAATGTAGAAGCCTAATTGGTTACCTTAGCTGTTGCTAGGGTGGCCTTTAAAGTTGCTCGATTTTTTCGAACAATCTGCAGCGTTGACTTTATATGTGATCAGTCCGATAGATATCCACGCCCTGCATACACACTCACACACATGATTTTCGCCTCTTTCCAACCTTTACAATAAATACAAAGATGCTCACTCGTCTCTGTATGTCTGGGATCTGAGATTCATCTATAGGACAAACTGAATTACCTGTCCAACAGTTAAGTGCAAAGCACGGCATCAAGACATGGAGGCAAGTAACCAAGTGGAAGTGCAATGCCCTAAAAAAACTTGAGATGAAGATCGGTAGATTGAAGGTGGATGAGCACTAAGGATGGACAACTTTAAAGGCCACTAGAAAGCTACTGAATAGGCAATCAGGCTTGCTCTATTTGAATACAAAAACTGCCATCCTAGCCGAAATCGAGAAATAGAATTGGTTATTCCAGTGACTGTGGTCTTTTAGTATCAACCATACTTGTTAATTACACACATCCGTAAGGCTTAACTTGAGGTAATTAACTACAATCCAAATTTACTCATCGCCTGTCTGTACCTCAACTATCAAAGCTTAGACTTTCCGTTTGAAATGCAAATACTGAGTAACTTTAATGGCCATCTTAGTGACTGCCGTAACAAACAATCAGGTTTCAGCATTCGGGCTAGAAAGGAAGCTTTTCGTAAAATAAAGAAACCTGGATGACTTTAAAGGTCGCCCTGACAACTGCTGTGATAATTAACCAGGTTTCAGTGTTCCGACTAGAAAGGCAGTGTTTCATAAAGTAGCTCAGTTGGTTATCTCAGCAGTTGCTAGGTTGGCCTTTAAAGTCAATGTAACTTATTCTATAATTTGTCGAAGAGTGACGTTTAGAGTGACTTTAAAGGCCAACATGGCAGCAACTCAAATAACTAAATAGACTCTATTTTATGAAAATCTGCCTTTCCAGCCTAATTGGAGAAACCTAATTGGTCATTTCTATCGTTGTAAGGATGGGCTTTAAAGACCTCCGACCTTTAAAGGGGTGACTTTAAAGACCACCCTAGCAACTGGTGAGACAGCCAGTTATATTCTTTTATTTTGTGAGGAAGTACTTTACCAGGCGAAATACCGAAGCCTGATTGGTCATTTCTGCAGTTGCTAGGGTGGCCTTTAAATTACTCCTTTTAAGGACCAGATCAGCAACTACTGAAACAGCGAATCAGGTTTTGTTACTTTATGAAGAGTTACTTATCTCGCTGAAATGAGGAAACCTAATTGGTTGTTTCAAAGGTTGCTAAGATGGCTTTTAGAGTTGCTCCGTCAACGAAACACAACATATTCAAATTCTTCTATTTGTTAGTTATTTTGAACGGTTTTTAAACATAAAATTCACATTCATTATCAATATGCTGACAAGCGGTTGTGCTGTTGAAGACTTTTCCAGTCACAAACTTCTTGGAAAATGCCCGGACATGTGGTCGTAAACTCTGCCTTCTGTCCGTTCAGTGTTTGTGCCTTGGTATATGCAACTAAAATCACCATGAATGGGGTGGGGTTGTTTTGAACTGAGAGTGCCTAAGTGAGTAATTCGTTTGGCAAAGAGACACTAGCTTCGCAAGTGGATGAGTCCTCTGTGATACAACATTCATTCTGCAATTAATTCTCCCAGAAACATCATCATCTGTAAGCCAAGATTTAGACAGGCGGGTTGCTTCTTGATTACATCTCACTTCTCATCAGAGTTCATATTTTTCCGTACTTATCAATGAATTTTTGCGGATTTCAGGAATTGTCACTTCCCCTTCCAGTGTCTCTTTCGAACGACAATATCCCATTTAGTTGTAGAATGCTTAGTCAAGCGCTTTCTTATAACATACCGAACAAAAACTCTTGAAATTAAGATAAATCCTATTCCATGAGTGTCGACAAGTGATAAATCTTTGTATATCGCCATCTGCAGTTTGGTGATTTCCGAGATCGAGGAAGTAAAACGAATCATTCTGCTGGTAATCCATTGGAAATTCTGTGTCTACTCAACAAAATGACCGAGAAAACCCATTCAGATCCACTCATGTTAGCATGAACATCAGAATTCCCTAACTTATTAAAATCTGCCTTTCCAACCGAAACAAAGAGACCTAATTGGTTATTTCGATTGTTGTTAGGGTGGCCCTAAACGTCACTCTGTTAGCATTATTATCAACACAACTGACTCTATGTCTACTATGCTGGAACGTATATTATTATTACTTGGTAAACATCAATTACATTTTTTTTCGATTTGAACATATCTTCTAGGAATTGTCTAACAATGTGAAAAGTTGTTGGAGTTATGTTTCGCAGTTGGCTCGATTAAGTCAAGTTCATATTAGAAATGCAGCCGAATATCATCAAGTAAGTGAGAACCAAAAAATGATGAGATTCACTAACTGTAATGTTTTCATAATTTCTATTTATTGATACTTTCATTTTACGCTTCATTACCTTGCATAAGATATGCTGCATACTGTTCTAGCATTTGAAACAATAGATACCGGGATCATGTCTCAGTGAGACAGCATCATTCACTGAGACGGAGACATATCCAACTGAAAAGTCGTAAATAAGGATGAAATGCACATCCTGTACTCCAGTGTTAGCCAAAAACTAGCAAAACTACATTCTGCAGTTGTTACTACCATATCTTTCTTTTTCTATCACAATTAGACTTTCCACTAGTTAGTGGGTTATGCATTCAAGGCTTGCTCCACGCACCAACGTTTGAACAGTTAGATAGTATCATTAACCCAACCTTTACATGTTTTCTGAGTTGTATTTAGTACAGGCAAGGAGGAAGAATACCAAACTTGGTATCTAATAGGAATGTTGATAGAAATGTGAAGCCATTGTGATGCATGGAAATGATTCGTTAATCTGTCAGACTGCATTTTAATGATGATCCCGACAGTTTTCATTGGAATTCATATAGGTTTCCCTAACTACATCTGTGAGTTTTGAATATTACTAATAGAATTATGGATGAACCCGAGTGAATACAGTTGAGAATCTATGAACGTCGGTCATTGTTGTTTGGTGTGATTGATGGAGGCTGGTCGATTCCCATTAGTTGTTCAGAGTCACTTGATTAGACCTTAGTTTGACATGGCTGTTCAGTTTGGGAAATATTCCTATAAATGAACTGGTGATAAAAAATTACGTTTAGTTGTCTCATGGTCATACACAGTGTTTGCAAAAGATAATCAATGTACGCTAATTGGCCACCAACGGGTAAGCGATGTAGCTGTCTAGTCCTGAGTGATTAGCACTAATTGAAGTCTATCGATAGAGTTTTACAATGTGGACACTAAAAACATATTTGCAGGGATGCAAGAGCCTTGATTGATTTTTGCAAACTTAAGACATCTATTGCACTGTTGAGATATGCGACTGGCTACTTACAGTTGAGTGGAATGCAAAACAGTTTGTTTTATTGGACTGTATAACGGTGAAACATTGCCATTAAAGATGAAGGACTTAAGGATGCTCCAGATATTAAACCACTGCCACCTTTGTGGGACTACTTATGTTTTTTTTAGCCACTACGTTAGTAAAGTAGAAGTTAAACGAAAAGTCTTAGGTAAAAAGGTAAATCAATTGCAAAGGTTGATAACTTTCTTCTACTGAGGTGGTTGGAAGGTGAGTTACTCATGCCTGATCACCGTCTGCCTCATCCCGCAATGTTTGGTGAGGTGGATTCATGCTTGAAAAAGGTCAAAGGCGGTCAAACCAAAAAGTGGCATCAGTTCATGAAGTCTGTCACCACTGCTTTGAGCCGGGTAGGGGAACTACGACTTCTTGGTTAAGGTCGTGGTCACAACCGCAGTGGCTAGAGACTCTAGGTGACATGATTCAGAATTAATCTCAACAGCGCAGGTGTATCCAAACATTATCTCCACCCTAACTGTCAAATCACATTTCTTTATTTGCCTTATCCCTTCGTCTTCTTCTCTCCTTATAATTTTTTAAGACTTATCATGACATTTTCCTCCACATTAGTCTATCTTTCTTTTATCTTGCTGACTTGTATCTTTATCTGCTGATGAGAGGCATGACCATCAAGCAGTATTACTAGGTTTCATGTTAATATTTGCTCAATGACCTTCAGTTTTGATAATTTCATTCAGCTATTACCAATATACTAGATGGGGAATCAGAAAAGATTAGTTTATAACTCAGTTAAGAATGATAATCGAATTATTGTTAAGCTAAGTGATTTAATGTAGAACTCATCTAGTAGTCAAAGTGAAACCATTAATCATTTAGGTCTCACTATCTTCTATTCGATCCAGTGCGGGATTGTGGGAATATACTATAGGAAAAGTCCTGTATTGGGACAAAATAACTTCTGGTCGCCTATAGCTTGTAATGATTTCCTAACTTATTTCCCTGGGGGAATATAACCGGGTAGGTTAAATTTAGAATAGAATCAATACACGAGGATATAAGGAGTTTTCTGAAAATACTGGCTGACTGCTAAAACTAGGGAATTAAAAGGTAACCGAGGAGAAGTGAAAAAGATACAGAGAGTATGAATAGGGATGAAAGTTATCGGATGTTATTATCTATTGATACGTGTAATCTCCCATTGTAGTACACGGTCGAATTGCTCGATCCTTGTTGGTATATGGGCTCTTACACAGATACCTCGATACTTCCTGAATATTCGTTATGCTACGGTTTGCCTAGCGGCTTGCGGTGGGATCCAGGAAGCGCTTTTCGTCCTATTTGGGACTTGTCAGCTGAATGTACCTGGACCCAGTGAGTGGTGGTGTTTCCACCGAAACTGGAGTCCAGCAATCACCGCCGAAGCGTTATCTACTAGACCACTGCGGAACAACAGCCACCAACTGTACAATGGATATCACTTGGTACTGTCATTGGAAGTTCTGAGTTGATAATTCTCTATTGGGATATGGGCTTCTGTACGTTCACCTCTATACTGTCTGTAGTTAGATTTAGGTTACATGGTTAATAGGAGTCAGCAGTAAAACCTAGGATGCGGGCTTCAGCCAATATTATCAAGATGTAACTAGATACATTATCAAGGTGTCCGTACAAGAAGCCCATTGGCCAATAGAGACTGATCACTCCCGCCCAACTGGGTAATAATGGGTAATGTAAAGAATTTCGTTAACAAATTGATGTTTTTTGGACAATATGTAGCTGTCGTAATTCAATAGCCTGATGGATGACGCTAAGGCGTTTATAACACCGGGGTCTGGGTCAAAGTCCCGGTGGAGACACCAATGTGGATGTGTATACACGTAGCTAGAAAGTTCCGAATAGGATGAAATCCATGTTCTGGGTTCCACTTCTAAATACTCCCAAAAGCAAAATAACCCAGGATGATAATATTCATTATGTTGAAAGCAGGGGAAAGCCTAGTATCACAGGGTAAATCGTTTTCGCAAATGGTTCTCCTTTTAGTGGCCTGATTACTGTGTATCATCAGAAACATGAATCAGTTGTGAATTACTGTAAGAATTTCGTGAGTATAAGTAAATATTAGATACAGAGACCGGACAAGTTCATTCTGACGTTTTTAAAAACTGAACTATAAGGTATTCATGACTTATTAACACAGACGCATACACACACACATACACACAAACTCATATCCCTAAGATGAACCTAAACACTGATTTTATTCATTTCACATGCAGTAAGGTTTCATGTTATCTCTGACAGGCTGCTTATGTTCACTGATAAATAGCAACTAGTGGATTCTTTTCTGGAATGAATTTATGTTGCTGTTTTTTTCTAACGCTATGAAACATGACTGTTCAAGGTCGAAGAAGATATGAAAAGTTACATTTTTTATACGTCACATTCGCCTTCTTGGGATCGCTCGTGGGTGATGAATTCTTTGTGTCACTAATGTTGAGGTTAGGGAAAGGATAGTACTAGGCAAGGGAAATAAGTCAATTACTGAAGTTGTGAATGTTCAGCGACTTAGGTGGCTTTTGACACCTTGAGTTGCGAGAATGGCAAGAGTGGCCCGAATCCAAGAAATAGGTCTGGTCCATGAGGTCTCTAGCTATTGGTTTGAACTGTGTTGGTAGGTGTAAAGTGCCTTTCTGGGGTCCTCAAGATGACAGGAATCAATGTTTGGAGATTCTTGGTGATATGGCTCAAGACAGACGACAGTAGCGCAGATGTATACATTCTCAGTCATCTTCGAGGTCCTGAATATTTAAATTAACCTTTATTTATTTATTCTTTCCTCACTCATACATTTTTGTCTACCTAAATATTCCACTACTTTGAACAACTTGTTGCTCTGTATATCACTGTCAAGCGTGGCAACTTGAACGGATGCACTTTTGTGTCAGGTTCTAAGTTGTTCTGTCTCTGTTTTCTAACGCTTTCTAGTAAATGAGGAAGATATGGCTAATGCTTAACGCAAAGCAGAATTTGTTAGATGGTAAAAATATCTGCTAATACTCATGATTTAGCAGACAGATCTTACGTGGTTGGATGGAAACCTATTTTGTGGCCGGATTCGGACCTTCGACCTTTACGTATGGTAGGGAGATATGAAGATCAGACATGCTGCATTGCTTTCTGATACTGGATGACTTAACTGTCAGATTTCTCATGTGCTAAAAATTGTCTTATACTAGTGAACATCAAAAATTGTAAGAAAACACTCGTATTGACCAACGGATCTCGGTAGCTGGATAATAGTCTTCTAGGTGTCTAATTGGTTTCCCACCATTATCAACATCATAACAGAATAGTTGAAAAGAATAAGTGGTCAAGTACAAGAAACATCAGAATTTTTCCGAAAGCAAGCCATCTTTTGATTAGTTTGATCACTAAGATTCACAAACTTTTCGATAAAAAACGAAAAGAAATGATCTAATTAGAGCAACAAAAACAGCACTCATATAAATGATTGATAACTAACTGCTCAAGGTATTACGCAGGATGTTCTTTGTCACCTTTAAATTTGCACTAATAATAATAATAATAATAATAATAATAATAATAATAATAATAATAATAATAGTGATAGCTGACAGCTGCACTCAACCCATTGTATTGCAAGTCAATAATATAAAATAAATGCAAATGCATCATCATAGTCACTGTGTGTGTTTGTGACCAATGCATACATACATTGGAACATTGAACTTGACCAAAGCGTAAACCATAAATTATCTCAATATTATCTACTATAATTCTATACAAAAAAGGAATCAATTAATCATTCTAGCAAAGAAAAATTAACGATGACGACAAAGGACAACAACTTATCGATTCAAGCATAGAGATTTTATGTCTAAATCATTTTTGTTTGTTATAACTGTGTAATTAGTTTTCTTTTCTTTTTTTTGAATGTGAAAAATGAT